GTGTGTTAGTGAGTGTGTGTGTTAGTGAGTGTGTGTGTTAGTGAGTGTGTGTGTTAGTGAGTGTGTGTGTTAGTGAGTGTGTGTGTTAGTGAGTGTGTGTGTTAGTGAGTGTGTGTGTTAGTGAGTGTGTGTGTTAGTGAGTGTGTGTGTTAGTGAGTGTGTGTGTTAGTGAGTGTGTGTGTTAGTGAGTGTGTGTGTTAGTGAGTGTGTGTGTTAGTGAGTGTGTGTGTTAGTGAGTGTGTGTGTTAGTGAGTGTGTGTGTTAGTGAGTGTGTGTGTTAGTGAGTGTGTGTGTTAGTGAGTGTGTGTGTTAGTGAGTGTGTGTGTTAGTGAGTGTGTGTGTTAGTGAGTGTGTGTGTTAGTGAGTGTGTGTGTTAGTGAGTGTGTGTGTTAGTGAGTGTGTGTGTTAGTGAGTGTGTGTGTTAGTGAGTGTGTGTGTTAGTGAGTGTGTGTGTTAGTGAGTGTGTGTGTTAGTGAGTGTGTGTGTTAGTGAGTGTGTGTGTTAGTGAGTGTGTGTGTTAGTGAGTGTGTGTGTTAGTGAGTGTGTGTGTTAGTGAGTGTGTGTGTTAGTGAGTGTGTGTGTTAGTGAGTGTGTGTGTTAGTGAGTGTGTGTGTTAGTGAGTGTGTGTGTTAGTGAGTGTGTGTGTTAGTGAGTGTGTGTGTTAGTGAGTGTGTGTGTTAGTGAGTGTGTGTGTTAGTGAGTGTGTGTGTTAGTGAGTGTGTGTGTTAGTGAGTGTGTGTGTTAGTGAGTGTGTGTGTTAGTGAGTGTGTGTGTTAGTGAGTGTGTGTGTTAGTGAGTGTGTGTGTTAGTGAGTGTGTGTGTTAGTGAGTGTGTGTGTTAGTGAGTGTGTGTGTTAGTGAGTGTGTGTGTTAGTGAGTGTGTGTGTTAGTGAGTGTGTGTGTTAGTGAGTGTGTGTGTTAGTGAGTGTGTGTGTTAGTGAGTGTGTGTGTTAGTGAGTGTGTGTGTTAGTGAGTGTGTGTGTTAGTGAGTGTGTGTGTTAGTGAGTGTGTGTGTTAGTGAGTGTGTGTGTTAGTGAGTGTGTGTGTTAGTGAGTGTGTGTGTTAGTGAGTGTGTGTGTTAGTGAGTGTGTGTGTTAGTGAGTGTGTGTGTTAGTGAGTGTGTGTGTTAGTGAGTGTGTGTGTTAGTGAGTGTGTGTGTTAGTGAGTGTGTGTGTTAGTGAGTGTGTGTGTTAGTGAGTGTGTGTGTTAGTGAGTGTGTGTGTTAGTGAGTGTGTGTGTTAGTGAGTGTGTGTGTTAGTGAGTGTGTGTGTTAGTGAGTGTGTGTGTTAGTGAGTGTGTGTGTTAGTGAGTGTGTGTGTTAGTGAGTGTGTGTGTTAGTGAGTGTGTGTGTTAGTGAGTGTGTGTGTTAGTGAGTGTGTGTGTTAGTGAGTGTGTGTGTTAGTGAGTGTGTGTGTTAGTGAGTATGTGTGTGTGTGAGTGAGTGTGTGTGTGAGAGTGAGTGAGTGAGTGAGTGTGAGTGTGTGTGTGAGTGAGTGAGCGTGCGTGTGTGTTTGTGTGAGTGAGTGAGTGAGTGAGTGTGTGTGTGTATTTGTGTGAGTGAGTGTGTGTGTGTTAGTGAGTTAGTGAGTGTGTGTGTGTGTGAGTGAGTGTGTGTATTTGTGTGAGTGAGTGTGTGTGTGTGTGTGTGTGCGCGCGCGTGTCGCTGGTTCTGCTTCTTGTTTGAGTCTGATTTCCACACACACTGTTTGCATGTCAATGATTAACACAAAGGCTGACCTCTAAAGCGACGGCGAGGTCACACACGTTACAGGTATTTATCTGAGGGACGAGACGAACGCTCCCCGCGCGCATCATGAATCAGACGGCAGACACCTCGCTTGTGTTTTCTTCAGTCGCAGGAAACGGCCGTCAGATTTATAGTGTGCTGATGCTGAGCAGACGCCTCCGCTGATATTCCTGCTGCCTTTATGATATTTACTTAAACAAGGAATTTGTTGAGCGTAAATTTAGGGCTTTAGTGAAGCACAATAAAGTTCCCAGCGCTCCGGCTGTGTTCAGAGGCCCGGAGGTGTCTGGGAAAGCCGCGCTGCAATCATCGTTACGCAAACGTGCGATGCTCATCGTCAGGCGTCGGCGCTCGTTCTCGCGCTGCAGGAGACACAAACTTCATCTTCACTCAGACTGTGTGTGTTAGCATGAGAGAAAAGATCATCAGATCACATAAACTCACACTGGACACGAGTGAAGAAGGAACACGTGATCAGACACTTCATCACAGTTCTCCTTCACCGTCCAATACAATAAAAAACTAATAATGAAGGGTCTGTTGTTCTAAATGCATGAGCACAACTGATATTTACCTAAACTTCAGTCATCAGCAGAAGCGTTGAGGTTTAAAGATCATTTCTACATCAGTTCAGTCAAATGTGTCCAAACACTGGACTAAAACAGGTTGTTTGTTTGTTGTGAATGTAAATGAGACGCCCACAAATACCCAGAATCCACCTGCCCTCTGAAGCCTTTCAGCTTGAAGTCAGTCAAACGTGTGTCACGATTCTTCATAAGAAGAGTGTTTGCGTGTGCAGTGATCAGATGTGTGTGTGTGTGTGATTTGTGTATTTTGGGAGAGATTTATGTTCATCACATTACAATGTAGTGTTGGTAGTGAAAGCTGTGTGTGTGTGTGTGTGAGTGTTAAGTGTGTTTGTGTGTGTGTGTTAGTGGCCACTTACGGCAGAATAAACAGGCCTGCTGGGCCAAAGAGAGGCGTGAAATTTAGCCACTGCTCTGATTTATGAGCCGCAGAAGAACCCCCATCTCACCTGAAACGCCGGCGGCTAACGAATGAGAGGCGTGAATGAATGAATCTGCTCTGAGATCAGAGGTCAGCGGTCACTGACCCCACACAGGGACGAACTCTTCTAAAGATTCAGCGATACACACGAGATCAGCAAACAACAGCTTATCCTTAAATCAAGATGCAAAATGCAAAAATCGATATGAAGTCTTGTTTTCTGAGAAATTGATCAAAATTAAGTTTATGATCAAACCAAGAGCAAATATCTGCCAATGGACTCACAAAAATATACTTAATTCAAAGAGAAAATAAGTTTTCATTCCCCCTTGGCAGATATTTGTTCATATTATAATCATCAGTTTCTCAGAAAACACGACTTCATTTCTTCATGTTGTATCTCCAGTAAATGTTTCTTGATTTCAGGATGTACTGGACAACAAGACAGAAACACTGAGGAAGAGATTCATTTAATGCCACGGCTTTATGAATGTAAGATTTCTGCTCTGATTTAAGAGCTTTTAAGACCTTAATTTGAGGAAAGGTGAATTAAGCCTTTTTAAAGACTGTCTTCTTATTGGATGAAATAAGACCCCCCCCCCCCAATTGAGCACACAAGTTTTTTATGCCCGTTTTACAATTTTATCTGCATCTTGCCATTTCTATGCAGCGATTTTTATGCAATATCCCAGAATGCACATAAAATCAGATGAACAGAAACTACTGATCATGACACATAAGTAAACTGAACAATAAAGTGTTTGTGGCACAGGAAGTCATGACTCCTGGAGGAAATCCTGCTCTGATCCCACAGGGAAAACCAAATAAATGAGGAAAAGTGTTGCACTCTCCTCTCAAACATTAGTCTCCGTGCGGCAGATAATCCTGCTTAACTGAGCACTTCAAGAGTTTAAGAGCAGACACACAAACAAACTCCGGCTTTCTGCAGCTCCACCATCCATCAACATCTGTTCTTCACTTCAAACACAGAGACTAAGCAGCAGATTTACTGAACACGGATCCCATCCCATGAAAGCGCTGATGGGAGTGTTTAGTTCTGCTGATTATTATAGACTCAGATCATTTCTATCATGACCAAACCAGCAACGACTGGCCATCTCAGTGAACTGACTAGTGATTTAAACCCTTTTCTGCTGCAATTCTGTTGTAAAGCCTAACTACATTATAACTCAGAGCTTTATTTAAAGTTGCATAAGTAAGTAATCTGTAATCTGCATACATACAGTACCGTGTGTAAACTGATATGTAGCAAATGCAACTATATTCTCGTCCAGCTCTAATCTGATAAATGCGACTATAAGGCATGAAGATATTAAGATATTATAACCGTGAACATAAACATGTTTTCTGCTTTGTTGCTGTGTTGTGAAAAGCACTATATAAATACATTTGACATGCACTAGGACGCCTGCTCAAACCTCCTCGTGTTCCTCATTCTGCTGAGAGAGTCACTGTCCCACAATGCCGTGCGTTTATCTCTGTGCCGCTGTGGAGCAGACTGAGGGATAATCAGCTCGACTGCGGCTGAGGACGGCCTGAGCTTCACCGCAGGACCCAGGATAAGAGCGCGTCTGATAAAGCAGCGTTAGCCAGCTCATTACACCGCTAGCGTCTGGGACCGAAGGGAGCCCACTGCTTCCTCAATATAAAGCTCGTTCAGGGAGCGCTTCAGGACTCCGGGGGTTTGAGTCTGACCGCTGAGCCGCAGCACCGTCTGCAGACGACTGCTTCTGTTAGCATGAGACCACACGCGTGTACCACGCTCCTGCTCATCACATGACAAACACAGCACAGATTTCTGCATCCACACGATAAAAAAACCCCACACAGAAGCCACAAGAAAACAACCCACTGCCTTTCAGTTCATGAGTGCGAGTCTGAATTGGCCACGACACACAGGAAGTTGAACTTGAATGACAGGAAGAGAGAAATTTACTGAATTGTAATTCAAAGTAATTCACGACAGATGAAGTGTCCTTCCAGTCTTGTACACAAACGTTTATTTATTACATAATTTAAAGCATATAAACTAAATACAAACTTGCATAGGTACAGTTTTAAACATCTATCTGGCCTACAAACCTTCAAACATCAAGGCTTTCTAAACTCCTTCAAAGTTTGACTTGAGTTTGTTTTTCTAGTTTAAAATGAATTTCAATTCCTTTTTACACCTCTTTCCATTCGAATCGATGTGCTGTAGTGGAATGCTGTGGTGTGGAGCTCACCTGGTTCCTCCGAAGAGGACGATGCGATCTCCCAGCATGCAGCAGCACTGTCTCCGTCTGGGACACGGGCCTTTGCCCTTCGGCTCCAGCTTCTTCCAGGAGAACGCCTCTGAACACATGAATACAGACCAGCGGGAATCATTCTGATGCACACACAGTGAGGCCAAACACTGAGCCCACTCTGGATAAAACTTCAATATGGAAACAAAATCAAACAAGAATTAGCCCTGTAAATAAATAGATAATTATTAAATACAGTTTGAAGCAGACATTTAAAAACCTACAGCACTTTTTCTGACTATAACTGTCTTTCACTGTACCCCTAATTTTTTTAATTATTGTAATTCAATTGTCTTAAATGACATAAATATTACTAACTAAACCGAGCTGGACAAACGTATGTTTAATGAGCAGCTCAGAATGAGAAAATCACCTGGATTGAACTTCCAGAGGTCGTTGAAGTGTCGATCCAGACGAGCATTATAACCACCGAATATGTACAATTCTCCATTGTGAGCAACTTTTGTGTGTGTGTGTGTGTGTGCGTGAGAGTGTGTGTGTGTGTGTGTGTGTGTGTGTGTTTGCTCACAGGCAGAATGGCTCCTGCGTCCCTCGGGCAGCAGCTGCGCAGATGCCGTGTTTAGCCAGCAGTTTGTCTCCGTGTCGAAGATCTTGATTTTATTGCAGTAGATCTCGTTGTTGGAGTGGAAGGGGCCGAATCGATCCGCTCTTCCTCCAAACACAAACATCTTGGTGCCGATGATAGTAGCAGAGTGGAAGTCTCTCCATCGAGCTGGAGTGCCCTGAGAGACCAACACCACACGCCTCAGACACAGTCAATGATGTGGCAGTGAACACACACACACACACACACACACACACTAACACACACATACACACACTAACACACACTCATTTTAGCTTCATCAAACGGACGATCACACAATCACATCTCTGTCTGTGAGTGAGAAACTCTGTTCACATCTTTCTCTATTAGACACAGATCAATCCTGATGAAGCTCCACGGCGCCATCTAGTGACAGCGGCTGTGTCTCAAACCTAGTCACCTGACTCAGGGGTTTTCAACCTTTTAGGACATGCGCCCCCCCAAGTTTGTCTAATTCACTCGCCCCACAGGTTGAAAACCCCTGAGCTGACTACACAGATCACGCTGTTGAGCATCAGATCCTTGCATTATACCACCATCTAATATCTAATATCTATCTAATATCCCTCATCTGAGCTAAAACTGGAAGTAATGATGGTCAGCGGTGAAGGTTATAAGTCTCTTCATTCAAGCATGTATATGGAAGTAAATGAAATTGAAATGTATATTTATTCACTAAAACAGCTCTGTTGGCACTGGCAAGAATAAGATTTTAAGATGTTTTTTTAGTAAAGTGTCCATCGAATCACGCTGGAAACAGCAGATCATCCGGGGACTTTCAGCTAATGCTGTGAATTCAGACACTACTCTGTTCACATACTGTTTTTCGCCTACTATTTAGTAGTTCAAGCTCATTTTATTTATATAGCACCTTTACAACAGCCACTAGGCTGACCAAAGTGCTTACCAGAGGAGCACGATTAGAGGAGAATATAACATACATCAGAACAGGCCAGACAGCAGAATTAAGAACAACATAGTTAAGAATGACCATATAGCAGGAGGACCGAAACAAAGTTTTAAACTCAATTCAACATACAAGGGATTACGATTACTATGGAGATGTGTTAGTCACATTTTAAAGGCTGATCTACAAGAACGCACCCGTGAGGATCTAAAGCCAGATAAACTCTCCAAATCAGGGTCTATACACTGAGAACTCTCATTTGGGCCGAAAACAATTACCTCGGTCTTGTCTTCATTTGGGAAGAGGACATTATGGGCTAGCCATGATTTGACCTCCTCTAAGCATAGCAGAAGAGATGAAATCACAGCGGGATTGTTTCTTTTGATTGGTAAATAGATTTGAGTATCATCCACATAGAAATGAAAAGATACACCATGTTTCCTTAGAATAGAGCCCAGAGGTAACATGCAGAGAGAGAAAAGAGAGGGAGCTAAGATAGAGCCTAAAATAGAAACTTTCTGTCAGTCAGGTATGACTGAAACCAGCTCAGAACGGGACTCTAGTCTAGATAATAGAGTGCAGAGGTCGATAGTATCAAATGCAGCAGATAGATCTAAAAGAATAAGAACCACAGAGTCTCCGGAAGCAGTATGAATATCGTTGATAAGAGTGTGTGACTCACCCGAACGCTCACTAGTGACCAGCACATGCTGCTGGTGTCCAGCTTGTGAATCTCATTGGAGAAGCAGTCGGCCTGAGAACACAAACACGCTTCATCACGCGCTCGTTAGCTGATTATAATCACTCCATCACCTCAGTTACGCACCAGCTGCTCGTATCCACCGAAGATGTACATGGCCTTTCCCAGAACACAGGCTGAGTGTCCGTCTCTGGCACCTGGGGACAGACACACAGACAGACACACAGACAGACACACACAGACAGACAGACACACACACACACACACACAGACAGACACACAGACACACACACACAGACAGACAGACACACACACACACACACACAGACAGACACACACACACACAGAGGCTCACTCAAACCAGCTGCTGATGGTCTGGAGGTGTAACACATGGATCATCATGGCTCTATGTTTATATGTTTATCACTGTAAATCACTGGAGGAGGATTTCTCTTCATCATCAGATGTCAGTGATTACTGGATGATGTTTGACTGATGCTGATCAAACGGTTTGCAGATGATCAGAGAAAAGGCTGTATTTCTTGTGTGAAAATTAAATCATGTTTGCAGTGGGACGAAGAACCTTCAGTGTGCTAGAATTATTAACAAAAATGATATATTTGACAAAACACTGATTATGACCAAATAAAAAAAATGGTTTAGATGTAAATCCATAATCCAACAACCTGGACAAGATTAACTTAATCCTTATGTTGTGTTTCAGTCATTTTGACCCGGAGAGGATTTTATTTTTCTGAAAATACTAGTTAATGTTGTCGCATTGGACAGGGTAGAACAACTTCACACAAATCTGATCTTTTTTTTTTTTAATGTTTTCCCAATTTGTTACACTCACAAATGAGTGACATTTCCTGTTGTACCAAATTCTGGATTCAATCGTTTAACTTGTTTTCTTTCATTTAGCACAGGTTTTGTGCTTGTTTTTTTGAACTGACTGATAGTAGGCCTCATTGATCTGAGCTCAGTTTTTGAGTGAAAAAAAGCATTATTTGTGCATAACATTTGGCAATATTCACTCAAAATCTGAGGTGCATAAACTCAATGAGGCCTGCGATCAATCAGTTCCAAAAGAAACACAAACCCTGTGCTGATTGAATCCCAGATTCCAGCATGACGAGAGATTTACACGCAGTGTTTGTAGGCTGGCCATGGTTTTGACCAGTAAACCCAAATTAGGTAAAGCATTTCAGCACAATACAAGTGTAAAATAATGAAGAGAAAGCTTAAACCAACGGCTTTAGCCCGCAGCATTACACTGAAGCATGTGGTTTGTCTGCGGACACCTACTGACATCAAAGGCATACAGCACGTTACACGCGCCCTCGGTGTCGTTCCGGCCGCCCCAGATCAGCACCGTCTCCTCCACCAGCACCGCCGTGTGTCCGTAGCGCATGTAGGGCACCTCCCGAGCGTGCTCCCGTCCTCCGGTGCGCACCGGCGGCAGCTTCGTCCAGCGCAGAGACTCTGAGAGAACCACACACACACACACACACACACACACACACACACACACACACACACACACACACACACACACACACACACACACACACACACACACACACACACACACACACACACACACACACACACACACACACACACACATCTGATCAGTTCATGCATTCAAACCCTGAGCTACAGCGGCTGGTCGAGCGCGGTTAACCAAACTAACCGGTGTTGAAGACGTGCACGTCGATCTGTCTCAGGGTCTCGTAGTCTTCTCCGGAGCAGTATCCTCCGAACGAGTACACCTTGTGTCCGACCGCCACCGCCGCGTGGTTGACCCTCCGCGGGCCGCCCTCCAGGTGCACCGTCCAGCGTAACATCCCACGCTCGGCCGCGGCTGACCGCCGCGCTAAACCATCACCGCTCCGTCCATCTGAGGAGCACACACCGGCTGCTGGCGCTTTACACCTCTCAGAACTGCTGAATATCACAACATTAATGTTCATTACTCTGAAGCTGCTTTCAAGCTATCTGCATAAAGCGCTTTAGAAATAAATGAATATAACGTATAAATTCTCCCTTCAACGGCCCTCAAACCAGCGTTTCATCCATCAGGTCCTGATCAGCCAGTTTATTTTGTGATTACGGCAGCTGACTTTATATTGTCAATTATATTATTTTTAATTAACATCTTGTGAAGCCAAAAGCTGTGTTTGTAAGAAACAAATCCAGCATTAAGATGTTTTTAACTAAAGTATGAGTCCATAATCCATAATAACGCTTCCTCCGGTGAAAAAGTGCATCTGCTGTTGTCTCTCACATCAAAATAAACCCACATATTTGTTTAGAGCTGTTTAAACGCTGCTTGATCTGTGCAGATTTCTCTCCTGATTCACACCAGAACACTTTTTCACTGGAGGAAGCGTTATTATGGATTATGGACTCAATGTATTTTAGTTAAAAACGTCTTAATGCTGGATTTGTTTCAGCTTTTGTCTTCTCCAGATGTTAACTGATGGACTGGAGTGCTGTGGATTACTTGTGGATTATTGTGATGTTTTTATCAGCTGTTTGGACTCTCATTCTGACGGCACCCATTCACTGCAGAGCATCCATTGCTGAGACACTGATGCAGTACTACATTGATCTCTGGAGGCACAAGCCAGAATATATTTAGAGAAACACAGCAGTCCATCATGACACAAAACACCAGCAGCTGCCCACATGTGAAGCATCAGACCTCCTGAGAACATGTGGATGACCTCTGACCTTTACATGACAGGCTATCTATAGAGACACGCGGTCAATCACCCCATTTAAAACAATGATATGTAATTTCATGAAGGCTTAAGTGAGTAGCTTTCTCAGTAGCTTTAATGTGCTGCATAAACAGGCTGATCATAGTCTGCTTCATCCAATAATTCGGTTTTCAAAATATGATGTACTCATTTCCATAATTAAGAAATATCTATTTGTTGGGACATCAGAAATCATGACTGTTTTCATCCTGAAGATACATTACCGTAAATCAAAGTCATTTTCTCAGTGAAACTCTTTGATTTTAATTATATAAAATATTAAAACAGCGAATAAATCTCCAGTAAAGTGCTGTTAGCACGATTAGCACTAACTTACAAACACAACTTCTGCACACAAACAGCTCAAATCATCAGAACAACCCAAACACTTGACCGAAACCGCATGAAATCAGAACATGACAGATTCAGACGAAAGATGATAATTAATCTGTCCGGTATCGAGGCTCATTATTAGCCAGTCCAGCTAACCGAGCTAAAGCAGATAAAAACCCCTCAGCAGCACAAACCACCGATTAAAACACGGACATTTAACACATTTAACAGCGCAGAGGAGCCTCGACCTGAAAGCGTCTGAATAAAGCTGTTAGAGACGAATGAGATGATAAATACTGCTGAAGATGATGAGCAGAATCTCCACTTACCTTCAGTGCTAATGATAAACATAATGAACCCCACACACACACACAGCAATAACTGAACACAGAACAGAGATTGAAGATCACAAGAAAGCCAATAGTTCACACATAGCAAAACATAACACAATGCCAAAGAAAGAAAGAAAGAAAGATCAAACAGTCCAAGTTTTAATAGCTTTTATTGAAGATCGCTGTACAGGGTAGCTACAGACATAACAATATGTAGGCCTACTAATACAAAACAAGCAAATCAATAATAATGCCTAATATATATATATATATATTATTTTTTATAATTTTTTTTAATAATAACTAATATTATTATTCATAATTATATGCATGTATGTATGCATATATTCTAATGTTTCTATAGTAATGTTGTAACACGTTTTGTTATGAAGGTCCAGACAGCTGTTGTCGTGACACGTGCACCAGCACGTACAGCGTCGTCGCGCACGTCACCGCACCGGATGTTGATATAAAGTCTGGAGGAAGAGCTGAAAGAAAACAGCAGCGCGAGCTGAACGCGGATAAACAAACGCTCGATCTGAAGCGGCTGGTAAGAGTTGATCTCATACTAACCAGTTAACCAGCTGCTTCGCTTTGATTCCGCCTTTCACTCGTTCTGAGCGTCTGCAGCGTGTTTCTGTCTGCTGTTAATGTTGTTGTTGTGGTGACGCTGCGCGACGGACAGATGAACGCACAGCAGACGCGCTTCATCACAACAGCTTCTACTGCTTCCCTTCTTTTACATCGCAGCGTCAGACGCTTCTGTCCTCCTGATCTGATCTGATCTGATGTGATCCAGAGCTTTCTGCGGCTCTGAAAGACTCTCCACTCGCCTCTTCGCAAATGAAGGCCTTTAAACGCTCTGAAATCGGAGCAGAAACTCATAAAGCATGTCGTTTAATGTTGCATACGCCGCCAAAACGATGCTCTTCCTCAGTGTTTCTGTCTGGTTTTCCAAACATCTAAACATCCTTAAATCAAGATACATTTACTGGAGATGCACAATGAAGAATTACGTCTCGTTTTCTGAGAAACTGAACACAAGTGAGTTTAAGAACATATATCTGTTAATGGGAGATGAAAACTTGTTTTCACTTTGAATTAAATAGATTTTTCTGAATCCATTGGCAGATATTTGTTCGTTCTAATCTTAAATTCACTTCATTTGATCAGTTTCTCAGAAAACAAGATTTATTTTATGTCATTGAGCTTCTCCAATAAATGTGTCTTGATTTAAGTATCTTTAGACATTTGTACAGAAACACTGAATTAAATTTGGATGTGTTTCTAATACAAGACAATTACATTTAGAGACCGTATTGGGTTCCATTCTATTTTCTCCACTTGCTCAGAAATGCTGCGGGTGTGTGTGTAACGCTGTCTCTGGCTCTCACAGGTGTGTTTGTGTGAATCATGGGCCGCATCTTCTTGGATCACATCGGCGGCACGCGCCTGTTCTCCTGCGCTAACTGCGACACCATCCTGACCAACCGCTCCGAGCTGATCTCCACGCGCTTCACCGGCGCCACCGGAAGAGCCTTCCTCTTCAACAAGGCACGTGAGCGACACCAGGCCGATCGCTAATGCAGCACTGGAGATGCACAATGAAGAATTACGTCTCGTTTTCTGAGAAACTGAACACAAGTGAGTTTAAGAACATATATCTGTTAATGGGAGATGAAAACTTGTTTTCACTTTGAATTAAATAGATTTTTCTGAATCCATTGGCAGATATTTGTTCGTTCTAATCTTAAATTCACTTCATTTGATCAGTTTCTCAGAAAACAAGATTTATTTTATGTCATTGAGCTTCTCCAATAAATGTGTCTTGATTTAAGTATCTTTAGACATTTGTACAGAAACACTGAATTAAATTTGAATGTGTTTCTAATACAAGACAATTACATTTAGAGACCGTATTGGGTTCCATTCTATTTTCTCCACTTGCTCAGAAACGCTGCGGGTGTGTGTGTAACGCTGTCTCTGGCTCTCACAGGTGTGTTTGTGTGAATCATGGGCCGCATCTTCTTGGATCACATCGGCGGCACGCGCCTGTTCTCCTGCGCTAACTGCGACACCATCCTGACCAACCGCTCCGAGCTGATCTCCACGCGCTTCACCGGCGCCACCGGAAGAGCCTTCCTCTTCAACAAGGCACGTGAGCGACACCAGGCCGATCGCTAATGCAGCGCTAACGCTAACGTCCTGTGATGTGTTTCAGGTGGTGAACCTGCAGTACAGCGAGGTGCAGGACCGCGTGATGCTGACCGGCAGACACATGGTGCGAGACGTCAGCTGCAAGAACTGCAACAGCAAGCTGGGCTGGATCTACGAGTTCGCCACCGAGGACAGCCAGCGCTACAAGGAGGGCCGCGTGATCCTGGAGAGAGCGCTGGTGCGCGAGAGCGAGGGCTTCGAGGAGCACGTCCCGTCAGACGCGTCCTGAGAACCAGCGCTCGCCGTGACTCTCAGGTGTTTGTTAGGCCAAACCCTGGTTTAAACTCTCTAGATTTACCAATAAACACACAGGTCAAGAGCTTCAGATGCACAATCTCTTCTGTAATTGGCTAAAACAGCTGACCATACCATCTGCTCTGCGCATGCAGGGATGTCAGTTCAGATAATATAACAGAAGTGCATATGTTCATGGTTTCTTTTCCCATGTTTCACACATTTTTCCTCTGTGAGTATGGAGTTCAGTTTGTGCCAAAAGCGTCGACTGCTTTGTACATTACATCTGTCTGTCTGCTGTTGTTTTGTGTCATTCATTTGTGTTTTAATTTCTGCTATCGGATATCCAGATAAACTAACAGATTTGTTCAGTAGTGAGTTTCTCACCATCTTTCTGAATCGCTGAATATTATGACAAAAGATCACTGTAGACTAAAGATCTATTCACATTTATAGAACAGAAAAATAAATGCATCAAAGTTTTAGAAACTCTTATTAAAAAAATAATTGTTCTGTTTGTTTAGCTGGATGTTTGTAGAATATTACAGAATGTAAAGCATAAAACTGAGCTGAAGAAATGACACCCATAATACAACAGCAATAACAGCTGACCTGGACAAATGCACTGAACAATCCAGTCGACACTTTTGGCACAAATGTAACTCCATATGAAGACTTCACATGCAAAAACTTCTAAGTCAGTCAGATATTTTTCTTTTAAATAGCGTTTTTATCAGGCTCCTATGAAAATAACATTGGACATTATTGAAAACAAAGCATTCAATAACTGACTAATAACCTTTTCTTCGCCATTAAAGTGAAATGACTGAACCTAAACATAGGAGCCTGATTAAAAAAAAAAAAAAAGCTAATTTAAAAGAAAAAATCTCAGACGGACTGCGTCTGAAGGCTTCACGTGTAAGATGTGTTGTGTTAGTATTTGTGTTAGAAGAACATCTGCCACCTTCATCGGGAAACAAGGGGTTATGAATGATGAATCACTGCTGAAATAATGTAGATTTCTACACAAATTCTCTGTTTGCTTCTTTAAAAAGTTTTGAAATTTCCCAGCCGCTATTGTAAAGCTTTCTTTATCGTCCTTCAGTAACTCATCCATTCGTGCGGCAGTGGTTTCTCTACCCTGCAGTCATGTGACCAAACAGGTTCAGCGTTTCAGGCTGAACGGATCTGAACATCTTTCTGGTTGAGCAGGCTCTTAGCAGGAGTTTAGGATGAGCTGCATTCCCTCAATCTGTGATCTATAGTCAAACACACGTGTAAAGTTCCACCTAATAAAACCTCCAACCTGCGCTAGATCACAGACGCTGTAAACACAATCACACGATTCTGCTGCCGTGGTTCCAGTTTGTTAGAAACGGCCTTTTTTTGTTCCGTTGGAGAGCTGAGTGTCATTATTCACCGATGCTCGTGTTCATTTGTGATTCCTTCCAGACTTTGTGGATTTGTTGGGTCTCTAAATCTCCTCCGTTCTGCTGAATTTAAGCTCGGCTTGTTGAACTTTTACTCTGAGCAAATTCCTCACATGCTTCTGATTCTGTTCGGTGTTTGTTTGCTTCTGATGTCAAAGTACCAGCAAGAGCGTTTCTGCTGCTCTCTATCTGTCCTCTGATTAAAGCCGCTTCTGTTCATTATTGTATTCCAAAGCTCAGTTGTGCATTTAGCATGAGGTTCATTGTGTTATATTTGATGTCTGACTTGAAGAATAAATCATTTCCTAAAGTGGAATTTCTCTTCCTAGCATTTCAAGAAATCAGTGACACTTTACAATAAGGTTCCATGTGCTGAACATTGAAAAACACTTCTAAAGCATTCTTTAATTTTAATGGTAATTTCTGTGCATCTACCAATACATGATTAAAATCAAAAGCTGTATCTATGAATATTATTTAATGGAGCTGAGCTAGCAATGAACAGGTTTAACTCCCATAAAGATGAGTAAAATCTGTCACAAATGTATCGCTGATTGTGAATGTTAGCTGATGTGAAGTGTTACAGTGTGTCTGCTCCAGCAGATGGAGTAAAGCTCAGTGTTGATCAGTAACTGCAGCTACACGTACACACGGATCACCTGAGCTCTAACTACAGGTGACAGACCGGTTTCATCTTACATTCGCTGTCATTCAAGCCCTGTGCACGTACACTGGAGTAAAAGCTCGGCACACAAACATGCAGTGCAGCACAGATACAGACTGAACGACATCTGCAGACATAACCACTGCTTCATCTGCACTGCTCAGCTGTGCTTCAGCGTCATGTCAGGAGAGAAAACATCCCAGATACACATTGAAGTGTTCCTTTTATTGCACTTTATCTATCTGATAGTAGATTTAAATCTTTAAAGAGTTTAAACAGCAAACTTTACAGGTTTATTCCTCTCTATATTCTGAAGGTTTGTTCATAGTTCATTCACACTGATTTCTACAGCATTTTAACATCCTGAAAACATGGTGAAGATGTTTGTTTTCTGTCTGTTGACAGCATTTTCTGATTTATGGAGTGATAAAAAGAGAAATCAAAAACTCTCGTGTGTCAACAAAACCCTTTTAGACC